AGATGTCCATGGATCTTCAGACCATGCATACCTAAGGACCACTGGTCTGGGTCATGGTACAGTGCCCCTCCCCATGCAGATTATCGGGATGGTGGTGGCATCAGGTCTTACAGGGAGAACTTTTCTTTCAGTCTCAGGAGAGATGGTGGAGGTGAGGAGCAGCCATGGGGTGTGTATTTCATTATCCAAGAATTTATCCCCAGCCATCCCCATACATGGCCAAGAATAGTCTGATCCCAGCTGTTTCCTTCCTAGGAGAAGGAAATGTTGAGTTAGAATGTCCCTATGAGCCAAGCCTGGGCCATGACTAGGAGAAAGACTGGCTGATGAATGGGAGCAGTTTGGGAGAATACTGCAAGGGTCCCAGGAAGAAAGCATGGCGCAGCAGTATTAAAGCCTAGGTGCATTCTGAATCACCCAGTGATTTAAATGCTAATTTCATTGGTCAGGGCAAAAGTCTAGACAGAAGAAATTTTTTATTGAAAATAGATTTTTTTTCCCATATAAAACATTCTGATTATAGTTTCTCCTCCCCCAACTCTTCCCCACCTACCCAGATCCATGCCCTTTCTTTCTCTCATTAGAAAACAAACAGGCATCTAAAATAATAATAATAATGTAATAATAATAGCAATATAAAATAAAAAACAAACCAGATTAGGACAAAACAAAGAAACAAATGGGGGAAACAAAAAAAACACACACACACACATACAAATTCAGAAACACACACAGAAATCCTAAAAAGACACAAAGTTGGAAACCATAATATATAAGCAAAAGAGGGTTTTTTTTAAACAAAGAATTAAGAGGAAAAAAATAAACAACAAAATACTACTGGGTTTGTTCTGTGTTGGCCATCCAATAGTGGGCATGAGGCTTATCCTTAAGTGTTGTTTGTATGCCCAGTGAGGCTCCATTGAAGAATTTTCCTTCAGAGACGTAATTAATTGGAGATAATTTCTGGGTCAGGGGTGGGGCTTGCTAGAAGAATTTTCAGTGCTCCCCAGCTGACTGCAATGTATAGCAGCATCAGGCTGAAAACCCTAATAAGTCAATGACCTGGGCTTGAATCTACTCAACTAGTTCCACATACAATTGACACAACTCACCTCAAGTCAATTGCCAGTCTTTTTCACCTGTACTTGGGAACACCATGAACAATGTGATGAGCATTTAGTACAATTACCAGTTCAAAGTTCCTAATGCTGTTGCTGCAAATTATGTGAGTTTTAATTTTGTGCCGTCGTTCTCTGTTATGATGATTGTATAGACCATCGGTCTCTATCGGCTTCCAGGGACAAGTGTCTCTAAAGATGCTGCCACACGTGACCAGGCTCCTATGTCAGTCACTTTTCTCCTGACAGAAACAACTTAAAGGAGAGGGTGATTTGGCTCATGGTCTCCGTCCATCATGGCAGGTAAAGAGAGCATGGCAGAGTTCATGGCAGCAAGAGCTTTTATGTGTCAGGAACTAAAAGAGAACAGGACTGGAAGAAGGTCTGGTCGTAACCCTCAAGGCTTGCCCCCAATGGCCTAGGCCCACCACCTAGATTCTGTGTCCCAAAGGTTTCATAACTTCCCAAAACAAAACTCAGGTTGGGGGCCAAGGACTCGAGTGCATGAACCCCTAGAACATTTCACATTCAAACCGTAACAGCTCCAAACGAGGAATGAAAGCTCCCACCCCAGGCCTGCCACAGAGCGGACAATCACCCCGAGGTTTTAATCTCTTCACTGGGTTACAGAGGCAGCAGCGCCTCCACCTAGGACCCAATCCTGGAGTTGCCAGGGGAACAAGAAAGTTCTTGGCTGAGGCACACAAAGCTGATGTTACCAGAAACCATTATAGGAGGTGCCAGTACAGTATGCAGTGGTGGTGTTCACGCTATGTATCCTACGTTTCTATGTATGCACGCACACGCACACACACACTCACATACACACACACACACACACACACACACACACACACACACGAGAGAGAGAGAGAGAGAGAGAGAGACAGAGAGACAGAGAGACAGAGAGATACAGAAAGAGAAACATACAGAGACACACAGACACACCGAGAGATACAAAAAGCTAGAGATAAAAAAAAAGGCACACAGAGAGAAAGACACACACACACACACACACACACACACACACACACGGAAAAAGGGAGGGAGGAATGAAGTAAGAGAGGGAGAGAGGAACATACACACACTTTAGTTGGTCTCAGATAATGTTTTGCCCCTTTAAGACGATTGAAACATTGTGTCTTACAGAGAAGACGCAGAATGGAAATATTTTTGAATGGCTTGTTCTTGGCTTGTGGGCTGTCTGTAGAGAACTGGAACAAGTGAGGCTCCCTGACCGTGTGCCTGAAAACATCATCACCACACTTGCACTCTGCCTCTGAGCTCACTGGCTCACTCATGAAAGTTAACAGCAATATGGCAGAGGGGCCGGGGAAAGAGGGAAAGGCCTGATAAGCTTTCTGAATGGGCAGGACAGCCATGACTTGATATGTTTTATTGAGAGGCAACATGAATCATATAACACTTCTAGGATTCTGGGATGTAGACAGCTTGTCCAGCTGTCTGAGGGTGGGATCTGAGAACCTTCGAACACAGATGTACCGCCAAGTCTCATAACATCTGCCCAGTGAGATGTGCCTGCTGTACTGACAACTGGTTTGCTTTCCTTCGGTTTCATTGATTTCTGCAGATTCACACAGAGAGGGGAGCCAAATGTGTCAAAATAACTCACAGAAGATGAACCAGAAGGATACTCAAGGGCTAATCCTGAGCCTCATGGAGGAATTAGATCCAGGACAGAAAGTGGTCCAGGCTGCCTAAAGCCATTAAGGGAGTTGCAAAAATGGGAAGGTAACTGAATCGAGGGTTCAACACACTTCATTAAGAATTTGATTACAAAGGTTAATCCTCCAGAGTCAGCAAGCAGGAAAGCGATTATCAAGCCTCATTAAAGGATCAACTTCCACATCAGTGTCTTGAGTCTTGGCATTAGTTTGAGCTCTAGGTATAATGGGTTGATTAAGGGGGCAGAGGGCTGGTCTCATGGCAGGAGTCTACCTTCCCACCAGCCCCACAGTGGATGAATGAATTCTGGTCTCCAATGACAGCGCTGAGAGCAAAAAGGGGCTGTCCCCCATAGACTCATGTATTTGAATGCTTGGTTCCCAGTTGGTGGAACTCTCTGAGAAGGATCAGAAGGAGCGGCCTTGTTGGAGGAGGTGTGTCATTGGGGGCAGGCTTTGAGGTTTCAAAGGCCATTCTCAGTTCTCTCTGCCTTGTGCTCATACATCACAGTGTAAGCTCTCAGCTACTGCTCTCTCGCCATGCCTGACTGCCTGCCTGCTGCTTAGACTCGAACCCTCTACTGCTGGGGGATGTCTTTCTGTATGCTGTGAATATATGTTGTTCTCATTGGTTAATAAATAAGCTGCTTTCGGCCTATGGCAAGGCAGCTTAGAAGCAGGCGGGAAATCCAAGGGGAGAGACAGGAAAGAAGAAAGGCAGAAGCAGAGAAACGCAAGCCCCACTGCCGAAGGAGCAATATGATGTCAGCAGACAGGTAACAACGGCCACGTGGCAACATATAGATTTATAAAAATGGGTTGATTTAAGATGAAAGAGCAGCTGGCAAGCAGCTAAAGCCACAGGCCATACAGTGTGTAAATAATATAAGCTTCTGTGTGTTTACTTGGGTCCGAGCAGCTGTGGGACCTTGGGTGAGAGAGATTTGTCTGGACCACGGAGGGCTGGGTGGGAGTGGAGAAACTTCTGGCTACACTCTGTAACCATGGCCATGGACTCTAACCTTTTGCAAGCATGAGCTCCAAATTAAATGTTTCCTTTTATAAGCTGCCAATGGAAAATAATTACAAAGGGGGTTTATGTATACTCACAGCTCTAAGTGCATATTGATTGGCAATTTATTAGCTTTAAAATCTTGAGCAATGGCTGTAATGAAACATGGTTTTGTTTTGCTTTTTTCCAACCATGTGCTCTGTTATGTGAGGGGTTGTCTTTTCTAAGTAAACATCTTTCCACATGTTCTCCACTGAAGGGCAGTACAGTCGCTTCAAGGTTGCTGGCTACATTAAGGGGAAGTTGTGTTTAGGCACTGAAATCCCCTCCTGAAATGTTGGAGTCTGCCCTTACATCTCCTCAGGACTGGTACTCGAAGGTGAGGGATTGGCAGATCTATTCTCATTTGGATCTGAGCCCAACTCCAGCTCTGACTGGTACTCCATGAGAGCTACAGAGGGAAAACTCCCACCTCTCAAGAGGCTGAGCTTCCTGCAAGGTACTCTCAGCTCTCAGCATCTCCCACACTGAGGTCTACCTCTGTTCAGGCCCCTCCCCGTGGCTCTGAAAGAAAGTGCCTTTTTCCTGTGTGAGGTTTTAAGGAAACTGCTGAGCTGGATGAGAAGGAGGTGGATATAGAACTACAGAATATACAGTTTCTAACACTAGCACGGCAGAGGACACTCCCATCTCACTGTCTCTCTTCTGCTCCTTCTTTATCATGAGGCTAAGCTGACTAAAACAGTATCAGTGACATAAAAATGGCAACTTTTAGATGACCAAGACTCATAAACTTGGGACAAGTTTAAAATGTTTCCAACCTTTTTTTTAAATAAGTTGTTCATCATGTGTCAGCAATTTTTATTTGATGACCTGAGTTATACCAGTTTTATGAATGGACATTTTGTTACTTCTGTTGTGATTCTTTTCTTCTCTAGTCTGGGAGGAGTAAATACGTGGTCCAAGAAAACTGACCCCGTCTGGGGCTTGAGGCAGAGAGGGGGCTGCAGAACACGCTCTGCTCTATAATGACTATGTTAGTGCTTTGGGCCATGATTAATGAGTTTACACAAGTTGTAAAAGCAAATAAAGCATGTCTTGCTTTCTTACAGGCACACACATACAGAGACAGAGACACATATTCACACACACACACATTCCTGCAGAAATAATGGTGTCACTTACCTGCTCCTGGAGTACATGCTTTACCAGAGGGAGACTCAGGACAAACTTCACTCGCTGATTTGTCAAAGTTCTCATTTCATCCAAACTTAAATCATACCTGCACAGAAATGATACCACACGGGCATTAAGACCTTGAGTCTGTAAGTTGCCAGAACCAAATCCAGAGCTCTGAGAGAACAGATGTTTTTGCCCAGGGTGTGTAACAACACCTGAGGTTGGCTGGGAGCAGAAAGGGGAGGGCTTCCTGATAAGATTGAGTTAAAATTAGGCTGCCATTCCATCTCCTCTACAGAGCTTTAAAGATTGCAGACACTTTCACAGCCTGGGATGACTCAAGGACAGAATCTGTGGAGAGAGGGGGCACAGAGTAGAACCCATGTGGTATAAGGACTAGACTGTGAGAGTGTGGGGAGAATTATTCAGAGTCAAGTCAGGGAGTCTCTGGCTCCACCATCATGCTTTGGAATGAAGTTCAGAGTCACTGGGAAATTACTCTCCTGTCTGGCTGTCCAGGAAGGTGATTCAGCTTGACCTAGTAGTGTCAAAACTACTCTTGCCCAGTATGAAACTTCTGCCCTTCTCCTACCCCACCCACATTCTGTCATAACTGTGGCAAAGGGTTAGGCTGTGCTGTGTCAGGGACTACCCAAGAAGCTCTCTTCCTGTCTCCTATCACAGGGTCCACCCTGCCCATCTGTATTTCACCAATCCCCCAATACTTTTGTCCTTCACAGTTATTTTCCTCCATTAAGTCTCTGGCATGTCTAGCTCCATCTTGGCATCTATTTCTCAAGAAGCCTAAACCTAAGAGGAGAGTTTCCTCTGTGTCATCTAATATTTCCATGCAGATCACAGCAGAAGCCTAGAAGAACCTCATCCAGGGTTAATATTAGCCTCTGTCTCTGACAGTATGATGGCAATACCAAGATGAATCTAAGAGGGCCAGGCAAATATGACAGCCTGTCCTAATAACTCAGTTAAAAACTAGGCCTTAATTCCTGCCTCTTGAAACTGGACAGACAGTTTCTGAGGAGGCCACAAACAAAGGGCAATTAATCACTGGTGCCCCTGCCAACAGGGACAAAGGAAATAAGATGTGCCAAGCCTGGGCCACTGAGCCAGCCCCCACAGTCAGCTTGTACTAGGCCAGCCAGCCTCCACAGCAGCTCAAGGTAATAACCAAATAAGGACAGAGCTTGGGATTTGTCCAAACTTGCCCCAAAATGCGAAAGCTGTACCCTTAACTAGCCCCTGACTAGCCCTAGCCAATTAGAACATACTAATATGATTGTCATTCATGTAAGCCAATCATATCTGAGATGACCTAATTGTCCCTGAAACTCTCCTTGGCTATGCTTAAAAGGAGCCTATGAGCTCCTCTCAGGGTTGCCTTTATGTAGGGTGGACAGCCCCAGCATGCTGGTAATAAATGCTCTTGTTGATTGCATACATGGCTGGTAGTCTTTTGTGGGACTTCTCCAGGTCCCTAACACAATCAGACACTGAAATATTAGAGTCATGATCTTAAAACGAGCATCAACATAATATTACAGTAAGAAATTCAAACTCTCTTAAAACAAATGGAAAAATTCTCACCAAAGAAATATAAGTTGTTTGAAAGGGGGGGGGCATTATATAGGAATTATATAACTGAAAAATATGGTAGCCAAAATTAATTTAAAAAATAAAAACACCTCTCTGATGAAAGTAGAACCTATGGAGGTGACAGGGAGTAAGTCTGTGAACTCCATGAGAAAGTGCTAGGTCTGAAGATTTGTGTCCTCTCTCTCTTTTCTCCCCCGCTCCCCCAGACAGGGTTTCTCTATGTAGTCCTGGCTGTCTACTGGCTCTGTAGACCAGGCTGCTGGCCTGGCACTCACAGATCAGCCTGCTTCTGTCTCCAGTGCTGGGATTAAAGGTGTGTGCCACCACTGCCCAGCTGGTCCTCTCCCTTTTCAACTCTTAATCACCCAAGTGATGCATTTGGAGGTGGGACCCTTTGGGAGATGAGTCTATCACATGAGAAAACTTTCATGAATGGACTGAGATGTATCACAATTCAAAGTCTAAAAACTAAAAGCAAAAATTTGGAAGACAGCTTGAGAGAACCAATGCAAAGGGAAGGATTTACAGGGATGTCAACAAATTTCTCATCTGAAGCCACGGAGGCCTGAGGGGAGAGGATTCAGGTTTGTTTTTTGTCTGTCTGTCTGTTTGTTTGTTCTTAGCTCGAGAACAAGAGAATGATCAAAGCAGGTCTTAAATCCCGTGAAACTGTCTTTCGTGGCTGAAGGGACTTCCAAGAAGTTATAGGTAATTATGAGTTATGGGATGTGGGTGCTGAGATCTGAATGTGGGTTTTCTGGAAGAGCTCTTAACCATCTCTCTGGCTCCTTGGGACTTATTCTTGATGGAGTATAGTCTATGGGTTTAGACAAATTTATGGTTGCATGCATCCAACGTCAGATAAAGCAGTTTCACCCTAAACACCCTCTGGGCCCCTCCAATTCAGGCTTCTCTTGGGTGGTCTCTTCTGGTCTTACTCTGACCTTTGTCCTAGTAGAGTGGGCTGAGCTGGTGACGTGACGGGAAGACAAAGCATCAGCAGAGTGGTAGTAGCAGCTGGAAAGAGAGCCGCCATCAAGAGCACGGGGACAAAAGGGCAGCTGGAAAGGTCAAAGATCATCGAGGGTAGAAAAGAACCAGGACAGTGGAAGCAGAGAAGGCAAGATAGGGCAAAGAGCCTAAAATGAAAATCAACGGAAGTTTGTGACTTCTGTTGCCAGAGAAGAAAAGCTGTGGGTCCTGGTCGCTGGAAGAGGTCTCAGGAACTTCTAAGCTCTAAGGACCAAGGTCTCAGACACCCCAAGCTGAGAGCCCTAATATCAGTTGCCCGAGAGCTATAATACTTGTTTCTGTAAAGCTGATGTACCAAACCCAAGGCCCAGGCTGTGTCTACTGCTTCCACTCACAGCAGCTGGAAGCCTCTCTGCAGAACCCCAGTGCCAGGCTTCCGGCGATTAAAGCCCTAGTCTAACATGTCTTCAACTTGAATTCCTCCAGCAGTCAATTCTGACTTTGAAAACCAAACATGGCATCGTGCATGAGGAGATGAGAAAACAGCTTGAAGCAGCCAGTTCCCTCCTTGCACCACGTGGGTTCTGGGGAATCCAACCCAGGTCATCGGGTTTGGCAGCAAATGTGAACCTTCCTGTTGGACTGGAAAACACATTTCAAAGCACATACTTAAAACGGCCACTAGATGGAACTTGTTCTTCATGTGAACTGTCACCACAACTGACTTACAGTTATCACAGAGATCAAATCAGAGCTGGATGGAAAGCATTAGGGAACACCTGGAAACATGAATATTTGTTCATCACTATAGTCCACCTAAATGTCTAACAGTCTTTAAAGCAGGGGACTGAGAAGTTAGGCAGCCGGCAAACCAGAGCCGTACAAAGTCACAAGCACTCTAAAGCTCTAAGCAGGTTTGATGGTATATTTTCCTCATTTAAAGACCTTTGTTGGTCACTTCAAACACCGTTTGTATAGCAATGGGGTAATATAAGTCAGACCTAACAGTTTACTTAGTATTTTCGCGGCTAAAACTCCTATTATGTTTTCCTGAGTCTGCAAAATATGGAGATGTAGCAGATGTTGCTCCCGGTCTTACTCTACATACAGGGGTCCCACAGAACTAAGAGACTTGCTAAATCTAAGCGTCAATGGCACTCATGCCAGAATTAGGAGCCAGGCCTGGCATGCTCAGGGACATCTTGGGTCAGCCATGAAGAGTGGTGACATGGCAGAGGGGGTCCAGCTGTAACCCCAGCAGTTCCCTCACCTGACTCGGCCACCAGTGCTCTGTGTGGGATTGTTCTTGAAAAAGAGAAAATTACTGAGAACACCAGTCACCGAAAAGCTCTCTGCGTTATGGCATGCAACTAGCAGGAACTAAAGTCAAAGATACAAGACTCCACCTGTCCTGAGAGAGGCGTTGCTGGGAAGGGGGTATTGTAGGGCAGTACTGAACTCTCAGAATGACAGCTCTCTCCAGGAAGCATGGTTCATGAAGCCAGGACCAAGGCACAAGGTTCTAAGTGAAAACAGAGTCAAGTCACACATGCCTGTAAGAGTGGCTAAGATAAAAATAGATCGTGCCAAGTGTGAGCAAGGACGCCAAGCCACCAGATGTCTCATTACTGGTGTTGGGATTGTGAAAGGGTACAGCCACTTGGAAAAGTTTGATAGTCTCTCATGGCATTAAACATGTACTTCACATGCAACCCATGACTCCACTCTCAAGTATCCACCCAAGAGAAAAGAAACCTTTTGTTTATCAAACAACAAGACTCAAACTGTCCACAAATGTTTAAAACAGCTTATTTGCAACCATGCAAAACTGGACACAGTCTTACAGATGTAGGATTTAGATTGAACTCTGTGT